GGAGAAAACTGCTTGTGGAGAAGGACAAAGATTTACCTTGTAATAAGGCTGGTTTGAGCAAACAACGCATGAAGAGTGACCCACCAGATATGGTGTTTATACCGAGAATTACTAGGGGTGGGTGGATTTTCGGCTCCATAAAAACTCTCTTCCTCAAACTCCCTGATCGCTCAAGTTCTGCTAGGGAAATATGAACTCCTCCTTTTTAGACTGTCCGATACCAGCATCATCCTCTCATGGATGGAGAACTATCCTAGCCGGAAGAGAGATTCTGAGGAAAAGTCTGAGCTGGGCAGTAGGAGATGGCGAGAAAATTTGCCTATGGGATGACCCTTGGCTCTCTTTCAACACCCCAACCAAGTCAATGAGATCACCATCGAATGAAAACCAAATTCTCAAGGTCAGTGACTTGGTATGTCCTCTTACAAATAAGTGGGAGATTGGGAAAATTCACAGAGTTTTACCTCAGTATAAGGATACTATTTTGTCGATAAAAACCAGTGGTACACCCTCTTCTGATACTCTGGTCTGGATCCCGGAAAAATCAAGCTTATACTCTACAAAATCTGGATATGGTATTGGAATTATAGACAACAGGAGTGGTCAGGCTAATAACGATCCAGTCAACTGGATCAAGCATATCTGGAATATTAAAACTGCACCGAAACTGGAGGACTTTCTATGGAGATTAGTTAGAAAGGCTATACCAGTGAGTGCAAATCTAGAGATGAGGGGAATTGCGAGTTTCAAATGCAAAAAATGTGATGGACAAGAGGATGGCCTTCATGTCTTCCTCAAGTGCCCTCTTGCAGAGGAGGTGTGGAGTCTAATCCCAGCAGCACTAATACCATTGAGTTCTCTCACAGCAGTCGCAGATTTGATAAAACAAGGAAGCAAATTTGTTCATTTACCACCGGTGGGAGTGACTACCCCATTTTGGCCATGGGTTCTATGGAACTTATGGAAATCAAGGAACACTCTGCTATACGAAAACAGAGCGTTCACTGTCAAAGAGATCGTGCTTAAGAGTATAAAGGATGAAAAGGAATGGTCTAATGCGCAAGTCGAAAATGAGGTGCCAATACCTCAAAATATCTCTCTCCATCATGTCCAGCAACGCTCTCCATGCTCTCGTCCATCGACACAACTAGGTACTCTTGTTGTTAATGTCGATGTGGCTTGGGATCCTAATACGAGAAGATGTGGTATTGGAGGAATTTATTCTGGTGATGTCCCTGATCTCCCCCCTGTAATCTCAGAGTCACATAGTCATGTTTCGTCAGCTCTCATGGTAGAAGCCATTGTTATTCATCGCACGGTGTCATGCGCTGTCTACTCAAACATCTGATCTCTGGTGGTTCTTTCGGATTCTCTATCCCTAATTAACTTGTTGAAGATGGGAGAGCATCAACCTGAACTATTTGATATCATGTTTGATATTTATCACTTTCAAGGCATATTTGGTGGCAAAATCTGTTCTCGTTGGGTCTGTATTGAACTCCACTTTAGGAGACTACACTCTAGTATAAAATGAAAATCTTGTTTGTTCAAATGGACTCCATATTTTTCTGGGCCGATATACTCATCCGACATCCTTTTCCCAAATTATTTATAAATCTTAATAATTGTACTACATGTTGGGGTCAAAATCGGTCACGACGGAATCAATAGCTAAAAGTCCCGGAAAAAAGAATACAAGAAAACTGTAGAATTTCTACGGAGATACGAAGTTACGGAAAACTTCTATCAAAATATGAAATAGTTAAAAAGACCTCATGTTGAGGTAAAAACGGTACTCTCGAATCAACGTCTACGATTACTTCTCCATATGTCCTCCGAAAAATCCTTGGGTCGAGAAGACGAGAAACAATCAGCTCGCCAAGACGGCGAACTGGACGGACCAATACAGCTCTCCGGCTTGGCAATCTGACCACGAACGATCAGCTCACCAAGACGGCGAGCTGGACGGACCAATCCAGCTCGCCGGCTTGGCGAGCTGACCACAGACGATCAGCTCGCCAAGACGGCGAGCTGAACGGAACAATTCACCTCGCCGTCTTGGCGAGCTGACCACGGACGATCAGCTCGCCAAGAGGGCGAGCTGGACGGACCAATTCAGCTCGCCGGCTTGGCGAGCTGACCACGGACAATCAGTTCGCCAAGAAGGCGAGCTGGATGGACCCATCCAGCTCGTCGGCTTGGCGAGCTGACCACGAACGATCAGCTCGCCAAGACGACGATCTAGACGGACCAATTCAGCTTGCCGGCTTGGCGAGCTGACCACAGACAATCAGCTCTCCAATACGGCGAGATAGACAGACTAATCCAGCTCGCCGGCCTGGCGAGCTGACCAAGACCGGCTCGGCGAGCTGACCAAGACTGGCTCGTCGGCTTGGCGAGCAAGCCGTACTATCCGCACCATCCGTTAACGAGCCGTACAAAAGGAATGCACCCCTTGACTCGATCATGCTCCAAACCACGATCTGAACACCTTTCGTTTCGTCTCGATCCGAGATAATCGTATAAATTGGCAAAGGTTAAACGAAACACCAAAAATTACCTCAACTATACAATTAGCTCGGGCTAGTTTATAAAAACACCATCATATCGCGGAAATATTTCTATAAAAATCGTAAAAATGGCAAAACTCGTAAGATGGTCTAAAGGGTCCTAAGACGCGAAAAATGCCCACTTGCGACTTTAGATGAAATCCAGCCCAAGGATATGATGACGGTTTGTCCCTTGTTTGCAGGAAAGGATAAATATCAAGTTTGGAGATAAATAGAAGTTTTCCAAGGATAATTATGAAGATCGAGAAAAATGGAAGATTTCTGAGGAAGAGATAAGTACGAATCGAGGCGGAAAAAGAAAGACTAAACCGCCTAGAAGAGGAGTATATTAGGAAGAGGTCGAGGCAAGAAGCAAAGGATAACTTTTACAACTTTTCTAGACTTAGAACTCTCTTTACTTAAAAACTTGGTTTTATTCTTGACAAGTTCCGTTTCTATGAGTGGCACTTAATTACTAGACGAACTTGTCCTGGCAGTTCAATCTCTTGTCCAGTTCTATCAATTGAACTACGTTCGGCTTGATGATCGAAAGGGGTACGTAGGCATCCTTTCATAAGGTTCAGTCCGAAATCAATCAAATCCTTTTTTCGTATCTTTTCGTCTTTTGTTATTGAGATACCACTCAACTAGGTTTAAGGATTTCGTTGCTAAAACTAGATAACTCGCTGATAGCTCTTGTGGCCAAAGCTTTTGTAATCTGTTGTAATAATCGCAACGTTCTTATGCGAATACGAAATAAGATTTACTTTTTTTTTTATAAATTTGTTTTATCATGTTTCATATTTTTCGCATTTATTTGGTTACTTGTTATTGGCTCTCGCAGATATTAGAGATCTCTGGAAAATTAAGGTTTTCCTAAATTTTCTTATTTTATGAAAGACAGTACGAATTTCGACTCTCACAGTACACATATAAATAAGAAAAATTTGCCAAATTGAATAAAAGATGGATTTCGGTCTCTATAACCGTCTTCCTGAACATGTCATGTATAGATATTGTGTACCGCAGTGCATGGGAATATTAAAGTCCACCGACGTGCACATGAATAGATATGGATTAATCAATATTTTGCGCATCTTATTCGTAACGCGATTACTTTATTGGATTCACGCATTGTACCGAATAAACATCATAAATTATGTCTTATAATTTATAATTTATTATTTATTTTATATTTAATTAAATATTATGAATAATAAATATATTGAACTAAAATAAAAAAAAAATATTATATACATAATTAGACTGAAATAACACATAAATCAAAATAAATAAATTAAAACATCATTTTATTTATTTATATGGTATATAAGTACATTTAAATGATATTGAGATAAATATATATTAAATTTTCAATATAAATATTTAATTGAATTTTTTTCAATTCCAGTTCACATGATTGTATATTTGTGGTAAACAAATTTAAACTATTAATCATAAAATTTCAGTGTAAAATATTTAATAGTTTTATTAATTTATAATCATTTAAAAAAATAATACAAATTTCAGTTTAAAGGATATTAATCTATATATATTTATATATTTAAGTTAGATATTTATAAATAATACTTCATATATATATGATTTGATAATCATTTGTATTTTTTAATAACAAATAAAAAATCATCATTTAAAATTTTAATAATTTATAGTTGTTTAAAAATACTCAATATATAACATGTAAGAAAACATAAATAATGTAAATTAAATAAAATGGTAGTGAATTTATTGGAAAAATTATTATCAAATATTTATTATTTAAAATCATCTTTATTATATATATCTTAATTATATTAGTTAATTTCATAATTTTTATTTAAGAAAATAAAGAAAGATATTTTTTATGTACAAATAATCAATTTCATCGCTAATTTAATAATTTAAGAAAAATAATATTTATATAGGTGGATGAATATATTTTTTGGAAAATAAAAGTTATTTTATTGATAACACGTGGTTAGATTTAAATGTTTAAAATCTCTTCAGTTAATATATATATATATATATATATGAGATTTTTTTGCATCTGCTAAGAATATGAATTAAAGTAGTTTAGAAAGCGCAGTATATAATTAGTTTATTCAGATTATGCCGACTTTATCTATACGTGTATGCAAACAAAATATCTATTATATTATGTATTATTTCAGATTTGAAGTTTTTCATGTAAATAAAATCATGGTCACGAAAATGATCAGACACACGTGTCACACGTATAACCCACGCTTTCACTCCCGCTTGTGAAATTCGCTCACACGTACACAACACATTACATGTCTAATTAATCCATTCACATGGACCGACTTAATAAAATCTAGTAATACCATCCATCTATATATTCCAAGAAAGAACTTCCTACTTTATACCACGTAAAAGTTAACTCCGATCGAAACAAAAAGAAGAAAAATAATTGTAACAAGAAGAATTAACATGGCGAGTTTACTAGATAAAGCAAAAGGTTTCGTGGCTGATAAACTCGCCGGGGTTCCTAAACCGGAAGGTTCGGTTACGGACGTCGACCTTAAAGACGTGAATCGCGACTCCGTCGAGTACTTAGCCAAAGTTTCAGTCACCAATCCTTACGGTCACGCGATTCCGATCTGCGAGATCAATTTCACTTTTCACAGCAATGGCCGGTAAAACTCTTTCTCCACGTTTGATCTCAATATTTCTTCCGTTTCCATTTAGATGTTTTGATATTCCAGTTTATTATCATGGGTTCTTTGGAAAATTCAAAACCAATATCCATTTTTTTTCTTTCGATGGTCTGGTTTACGGTCGATATTTTGATATATGGAACATATAAAATTAAGTCATGAACAAAATTTGGTTTGGTTTAAATATATCCAGTTCGGTTATATGTCCATGAGCATATCTCCAACTCCAATACAAAAAAATAATTGCAAAAAAAAAAAATTATAAAATAAAGTGGAAAATGTAATCATGAACAAACAAAAGATTTTATTCAATTTTTTTTTTGTTGCATTTTCCACTCCATTTTTGTAGTTATTTTTGCGGTGGGATTAGAGATGGGTTGGAGATACTCTAAGTTTTGCTAATAGCATCTGGTGTTTGTGGTTCAGTTTGCATTTCGTTTACATTTAATATATGTTTATTCAGATCAACTTGTGATACTAATCCGTTCATTTATCTGGTTGACGTTTTGTATTTGTACGTTGAATAAAACTTGTGTACAAAAGTAGAAGTGTTTATAGTTTGAAAATAGGAGTATTCTGTAAACGCTAAATTCGTGTAATCTAATTATTGGTTACAGAAATACTCAGCTTGCTACAACCAATTTCACTAATCTAATTACTTATAATGAGAAAATTGATAGGGAAATCGGAAAGGGGAAGATACCGGACCCTGGTTCACTGAAAGCAAAGGACATGACGGTCGTTGATGTTCCGGTGGTGGTGCCGTATAGTATACTGTTCAACTTGGCACGAGACGTTGGTGCTGACTGGGACATTGACTATTTGCTCGAAATAGGCCTCACCATTGATCTTCCTGTTGTCGGGGATTTTACAATCCCTATTACCAGCAAGGGCGAAATAAAACTCCCGACTTTTAAAGACTTCTTCTGAATCAGCTTTACCCTACTAAAACAAATATCGTTTTGTAATGGTGATAATGTAATAAGTATGGTTTACTTATAAAATCAATAAGTATAATAATATAATAAGACTTTTGTGAACTTCATCTTCATACTATATCTTCATACTATGGATAGAATTTTCTCCTTGTTCTTGACTTTTTTGGTGCTAACTATTAAAGATGATTTTAGTATAGTATATAGAGTCATTTGAATTCTTTTGAATATATATATTTTTAAGTTTTTATCATAAAAATAGATTTTAAATTTTTGTATTTTCTCTTTGTTCTTGACTTTTTGGTGCTAACTATTAAAGATGATTTTAGTATAATATATAGGGTCATTTGAATTCTTTTGAATATATATATTTTTAAGTTTTTATCATAAAAATAAATTTTCAATTTTTTAAAAAAATTTTATCACAAAAATAGATCTAAAACGATCAAAATAATATTTTTTTATTTTTTGAAAATTTTAATTTTTTTTTTACTTTTTAAAATTTAAAATCTTATCTTTAAAATCTTCACTCTTCTATTCAAAAAAAAAGTCCAGGATTAGTTAATCCAAACGATATAAATGTATATTTATTTATATTTATTTATTTTTGATAAAAATATTTAAATATGTTTTAATCATTTATATTTTAACGTCGATGTTTGTGTCAAAAACTTTTTGAAATCTATCTCAGGAAATTTCTCTAATATTTTATAATAGATTTACAAAGCTTCGATTTATGTTATTGAACATCCCTAGTTGCTTGGTATAATACAAAATTCTTTGGAATTTGTTATTATAATTCCATTATCTTGTTTTTCTACTACTGTTTTGGCTAAGCCCTTGCGCGTGTGTGACTGCTAGCTAGTCGTCTCTTTTAGTCAACTTAAAATATCAGCTAAAACAATCCCTACCAGCAGACCAAAGAATCAAATCTACAAAACATCTTCACATCTTTCAGACAAAGAAATCTGAAAATCAAAATGGATCAAGATCGAGACCATGGTGGAAGAAACTGTTGTAGCTGCTGCTTTAGCTTCATCTTCACGGCAGGTCTCACTTCTCTTTTCCTATGGCTAAGTCTTCGCCCCGACAAACCCAAATGCTCCATCGAATACTTTTACCTTCCTGCCCTCAACAAATCCTTAGACCCACATTCACGTCAAAACACCACTCTCAACTTCATGGTTCGTTTCGAGAACCCAAACAAAGACCAAGGAATCTACTACGACGACGTCCACCTCTCTTTCTCCACCAACAGCTCTTCTCTTGTTAACTACACGGTGCCAAGATTCTACCAAGGACACAAGAAGAAGGCCAAGAAGCGGGGTCAGACTCTGCCCTTGAACAACCGGACAGTTTTAAGAGCGGTTTTGCCTAACGGGTCAGCGGTTTTTAGGATGGATCTGAAGACGCAGGTGAGGTTCAAGATTGTTTTCTGGAAGACTAAGAGGTATGGAGTTGAGGTTGGTGCTGATGTTGAAGTCAATGGAGAAGGAGGTAAGGCTCATAAGAAAGGGATTAAGATGAAGAAATCTGATTCTTCTACTAGGTTAAGATGCTGTTTTTTTATTAGTGTTTTGATGAATCTGGTCGTGTTTTTGTGATTCGTTAACTGATTAATGGTTTTGATTCTTTTTTCCGATTTTGTTGACAGTTTTCATGAGTCTTTTTGTGTTAGTTTCATATTGTTGTTTCTTCTTAGTCATAGTTTCTAAATTCGACCAAGTAATCATTGTATAATTTGTTCGATTATTGGTTTATTCTATTAACAACATTTATTTGGAAAGTAATTAGCTTTACATATTACAAAGGACATAATTATATATTGAGCTTGAAATGAAGGAACAAAGAATACAGGACAAAAGTACATCATAATATAGTAGTGATTCTTTTCTTCTTTTGACAAATAATAGTGACTCTAACCGTAAAAGTATGGGACGAGAGCTTTATCTCTCTTCAAGTAATAATACCAAAAGCTTTGTTTTCATCCTTTTTGTCATCTCCACTTTAATTTGAAGAGTTTTCTGGCATAGATCAGTTATAGGTTTTATTTCTCTGATTTTGTTTAGGTTTATATCTTTTCTTTGATTTTTTCATATATTTGTTCAATTTCCAGATGTATATAGAGTTGCAAACTCCTAAGGGTTTTGTGAATCCCTGATTCACTTGTCCGTTTTGATTATTCTCTCATGGGGTATAATTCCTTGTTTTTCATGTTAGATGGTGTTTTCGTGATGATTGATAGATAATATCATGTGAAACTTATTTTCAAAAAAAAAAGAAAGATATCATGTGAAACTAATTCTTCACCAATGTTTTGACGCGTGTAAATAAAAGCAAAACATTCTTTTGACAAAACTTTTTGAGCTTGCTGTAACCAATTTCCGAGAAAGCATGGGAAAGAAACCGGTCTTCTGCTGCCCTTTTATGTATAATAACCAGATTAACTATGGCTTCGAATGTTGTAGTCTTTTAGAGGTTTTCTTTCTAGTTTTTAAAAGACAGAATTATGTTGCAACTAAACAGTTAAATAAAATGTACGAAGAAGTTTTGTCATAATCCACAAGTATAATTTGGAAAAACCAAACAAAGTCGTCACCATGCATGAGACAACTCAGTCCAAATTAAAACTCTAGACCCTAAAATTTCTATTGAAAGAAAAGGACTAGTTTCTGTCTATGTTTTTTTACTGGGTCCATCCATGAAAGTCAACACTCTCTCCATCAGAAATCAATTGTCAAGACGCTGAAAGAAGTAGAGATAACCCATGTCTTTAGGAGGATTTGTCGAGATACCTACTTTGCTGTCATTGAAGATCACCCAACGCCCTTCTTTCATTATGTGTGACACATAGTGACCACAGTGAGTTGATGTTCCCATGTGACTTACTATCCCAAACAACTTGTATCCTGCACAGTTTTTGGAGCTTTTTATGTTAGCATCAGTCTCTCACTTTTGATTCTTTTTTGGAAGAGATGAGAAAAAGGTCAAAGAGAGTTTTCAAGTAGGAAACTTACTCCCTCCTCCGTCTGGTAATTCACTTTGAGCTGGAGCCTGTGCTGAATTGCTTGTGGAAACGTCCATGTCTGCGAGAGATGCATTAGGGTTGTTGAATATCCAATCTGTTGCTTTCTCGATATCTCCTCCCTGATCATAAACATTGTCACCAGTGAGGGAAAAGATAGAGCCTAACCAAACTGCAATTAGTTAAGCGTTAAGAAGATTTACCGAGGCTTTGAGTGCCTTTCGAGCAACCTCTTCAGCAAAACCAAAGGAGATTAACGTATCAACGCTTGATTGATCAACGTCAGATGTCTGATGGGAGATCGGTGCGTCGATATCTATGATACATATATTACATTGTCATATTTTAGTTTTAAGAAGATTGTCAAGCATCAACTGCAGAATCCTGGATATATTTTCAATTTACCTGGATCATCCATGTGAGAAAGTAACCAAGTCATAGCCTCTTCGACCCCAGTATTAGAAGTGTTTATGGCGGCTTTCTGGCAGTGGAGCTGGTTAAATCCCATAGAGACAAGTTGTGCAACTATCTCTTCATTTGCCACAGGCTGTGCTGATTCCATCGCTTCTTCTGGAACTGTATACAGAGTCAAGTTAATCATTATACAAAGAATTAGATGAAGCACCGTTATTGTAAATCAATATAACATACCACCATCTGGCAACAGTTCCTCTCCAGGTTGAAGCCCTTTGCTGCGCATGTGGCTGATATCAATTACATCCGGAACATCAATGTACACATCTGTAACAGTCAAATCAAGAAAAAAGGATAATAATCATTTTCATATACAATGCAAAGGGAGGGAACATTAAAAAAGGGTTGGAGTTTCAGAAAGAGACCAAGTTTCTTTGGCACCCAGCCTGCCTCCATAACAAACTTCCGCATGTGCAACACCAAATAATCTGGGAAAGATGTCAAACTAGTTGTCCTGCATAAAATTTCACCCTTAAAGATATTAGTTTACATTCATTCTAGATTAAGTCAGAAGAGAAACATCATACTTGATAGCTGTTGTCTTCCCCTTCAGAGCAGTGCTATAGTAATCATGAATCTGCTCTGATGATGAAAACGTTGCTAGACAAGCTTCTAAAGGAACTCGTGGGCGTACAATTTCATCAGTTGACCTGCTCAGAATAAATAGCTTAGATATTGCAGAGAAATTAAGAAACATAATAAACTTGAGTTAACTAACTCACATATTATCTTCCAGTCCTTTGTCTGCTTTCTGGTTGTTAAAGGCTTCTAGTTCATCTTGATCACCAAACATTTAGCAAAACAAAACAACATAGAATTAAGAAACACGCCATATGGTAAAAGAAAGCAGAACAGAGAAGGAAGAACATTATACACCTTTATTAGTTGCCTCTTGCAATGGAATGTTCAAAGAAAGAATACAGTCATCCCTCTTATTATATGAGACCTTTCCAGATGAACAAAGGATCTTTTCTTCTACTCCAAATTTGAAGCTCCTCGAGGGGTCTAAATCTGGTCTCATGTTGTTGCCACGCTCAACTTTGTCTAGCAAATGGAGGAAAAAGTCAAGAGCATCCTACAAGACAGAAGGGGTCTAGTTAGTATGAAATTTTAGTGAATTAAGTAAACAGATGTCTAGAAGGAGTATCACTCAGAACAAATCTACAAAATTATGAGCATTTCATAAGACATGGTTTCACCTGCTGTCTCATAGAAGAGAATTCTGCATGGCCAGCAGCAACTACCGATTTGAACATGCGAGGAAGTATTCCTTCTTGTCTCTATTATTGATTAAAAACAAACAAATGTGTGGTCATCAGAAATCAACATAATGCAAAACAATGTGTACCATCTTCGTGCATGTACATTTATTCAAAATCTTAATATAGAGAAAAAATTTAACAAACATATCGAATAAGAACTTACAACATCTCCAGTTGCAACATTCTTCTGCAATCATAAGAATGGGAAAAACAATGTAGAGGCCATAAGAGGTGGTTTGGGTAATATACATGTATAAGCATTCAATTTTTTCTCTTGAAATAGCCATACCTCTGTTACAGGAATAGAGTACTTCCCAGATAATAAACCATGTCCAAGCTTTGTTCTGCCACCAACAGCAAAGTTTAGGAAACTAATATGCAAAACCGCCATTCAATTGTCCCTCATAGAAATTAGATTTTTTTTATTAAAAAAAATGCAAAGCATATGAAAACCAAGCGGATAAATAACAAAAAAATCTGAGGATGTATCATGCAGGTACAGAACATGTAACAAAAAATCTGAGGATGTATCATGCAGGTACAGAACATGTAACAAATATAATGTTGAAACCTTTTATCTTTACAATGCCAAGGGTTCAACGGCATGGTAACAAAAAAATCCGGCGTATAAACCATAGTAACAATTGTTCTGACAGAAACTCACAGTTGCATATTGAGGTCCAAAGTTGGATCAGCTGGAGCTATCTCAAATGCCGACTTTAAGCTTTGATGTGAAAAGTATCTGCAACAATTTCAGAACCCGAAGTTATTACAGCGGATTCTAGAGCAACATATTTGTTTTGTTTTTAGTTATACAAGATAAAAGGAAACATGGGCAATGGCATCTACTTGCAAATGGTTACTTATATTCACCTTGAAATAAACGAATGGGTCGAGAAAAGAATCTGCATTGTAGCTGCCAAGTAGCAACTAGCAAAAGAAATGAAACGGGCATGAGGCATCGACAAGGAAATGAAATCCCTGATAAGTTTTTTAATTACAAAGCATACCTGTTCCCAAGATTGACAAGACCGGTATATCCAGGTCCAAAAACTGGTACCAATTCTTTTCCACTCTCTTGTATACGGTTCCAATCAAAATTCGTATTCTGATCAAGTTCTCTTTCAGCAGTTGTCATTTCTGTCTGCAAATATTGATTTTAACACCCAATAAAGTAAAGTTTTATTCATATGAACGATGTTTTACCAAAATGACACATCTTTAAACAAAGAAGATAATCAGGCAGTACGAACTGACAAATAAGAACAACAAAATTAGGAAATGAAGCGTCGTTGCAAAGAAAGAGGACCACAAAACCCCAAAATTAGCCGCCTATTACAAATGTTTAGACGTTAGTGACGCAACCAATGCAAGTTATTAGACTGAACGCGTGTATGGAACATATTGTCTCAACGCAACCTTAAATGACATTCTCTAGGAGCAATGCTACTGATGTGAGTGTCCTTGCTTTAGACATATGAGAATATGTACAGCATGCTGAAGAAAATGGTTGTTTTCGGGCAACTGATAGTAAGAGAACAAAATGAACAGAAGACAGAAGCTTTCTAGAACAACCAGCAGTTGACCAATGCGACCAGAAAGGGTATATATACAAAACCCAGCACTTCGAGAATACCTAAGCTTGAGCCTCTAATAAAAAGGTCGTATGCAAAGACAAAAACAACAGTATATAAAGTGTGCCAGAAAAGAAAAAAAACGCACTCTTCACCATTACTAACCTTCTGCAACGTGGAGAAGTCGATTCCAAAATGGGCCAGATGCTGAGCCAGGTGCGGATCCAAAACACTGTCATCTTCCGGATAGGAATAAACATCTGCCAAAA